GTAAGTATTTATTCAATTAAACAGTTATAAATTGACCAAAATATATGGCTCAGAGTATTAAATCACAAGTTGCCACCTCATGCAAGGTTCTCTGCTAATTATACACTTAAATCGAATTGAGAAAAAAGGTCCCATAAATTGTCCCTGCTCTTAAATTTATGGCACCAAGTAGATTGTAGCTATGAGCTGTATGCTTGTCTCGCACCCTCTCTGTCGCTTCGCTTCTATTTTATCTTTTCCACGTATATTTTGTCAACGATAAGGAAAAAAAAACCACAACTTTACGCATCTATTATCGACTGATGGTTAGTATACATACAACTATTAACGTGCACGAAAAACTGCGAAAAACAAGTCGTTGTCTTCTCAGAGTTTTTCCTTGGAGTTCTAAACGAGGAACCAATTAGTTGGAAGATTGATACTTCAACGTACTGCACAATAAGTAAATAATATTCTTTTTTTTTCTTCTGTGCTTTGTGTTTCGATGGTCGAAAGACCCAAGTATGTTCCGACAGATGAACAAAGGAAGGCGAGCAAGATGTATAATATCTTGGCACAAAGTCAACAACTGCGCAAACATAGTATAGTGGCGCTCTCGTTTGTTAAGTTTTAATGGACGCTGTCGGACGACTATACAGTTGCGTAAAACCGAAAAGCTCTTCCCCCGGTACTTTTTGTGTACCTGCAACACCTGAGATGTACACCGCTCGAACGACGTGAAATGAAAAGTATTTGTAAACAATTTGCTAAGAGGTTCGTTGACCCATTGAAAAACCAAACCGAGGAAACACAAAATAGGTACATTGAGAGAAAAAAAGTAATAAAAATTTCTGTGTTAGAACGGTAATATGGTAGTATTCGGTCGTCTACAGACTTTTTACTATACTTAAACAATAATTTGTAATGTTTAGAACAGTAATTTTTGTTGTAAGTACAGTGATTTTCACTGTTTGTACGATAGAAATTACTGTCAAGGTGTCACAAAAATATAAAAAGTTACTAGATGGTGGAATAACAGTTTGATTACCATTCTAGCACAGTAATTTTTTTTTTCTCTCTCTCAGTGTACTCACACTTATTGTGTTATCATTCACGTTCAAGTTGCTACTGTATCTTCATGGTATATATAGACAAGCTCGAGGGATTGCTTTTCCTCAGTTGCCTGGAAAAAAAGAAGGAACATAATCATCAAACTGGATTCTATGGCCAAAGGGAGGGGAGAGAAAAAAAGGTGCGTTTTCGCTTTTATCCTTTTTTTTTCTCGCAACGGCGAAGATCCGGTCTATGGCAGCTTATTCAACCATCACACTTGTGTCTCGCACACGCGCGTACACCTGTATACGTAAAATATCACGAATTCCTCTGCGGTCACAGAGAATCTCTCTTCGCATCAGAGCTTCTATATTATTATTATTATTATTATTATTATTTCTGAGACAGAAACTTGAATTATTTCAGGCAAAAAGTGGTTTTTTAACTGAGCGTTTAATTTGTTAATACTGACGTGACATGCCTTGAATTTGAATTATCGTATTCTCAAGTGGTGCCTTGTCTCATGGATGAAAAATTCGAATACATACAGTTTGAAGTTGAATATGATTTTTCTTGAAATGCAAACAATACATTGATAGTATGGTGGCACTGAATGATGCAAAAAATTTTTGAGAATTCTTCTATCGAGCATTAGTTTATAGTATATTACACGCTTACGAAGGTAAAGTAAAGTATGTTCTAGATTGCAAATGTATTGACCATTGAGGGGAAGCCGGGGATTGCAAACTTTCAATCTGAGTATTATTTACACTACCTTCCGTGGTGTGTATGCAATTTTACTAAGCGCTGCAGGGGAAAGGTGGTAACTTCACCCAAGATCGACTTCACCTCGTAGGCATTTAAAAATTCTTATTACTACTAAGGTCTTGAGCAAAGTTTACTGTAAAAAAAACTGCAGTGTTGTTCATGCACCACTGCTTAAGGAGGTTCAATACATTGTGAAGCTCTAATTTTTTTTCATCCACTCTATGTGGTATAATAAACAAACTTTTATTGGGCAATCTCAGCCATAAAGTTATTGAGATATCTTAAAATGACAAATAAGTAGTTAAATATGGACTGTTCTACCTTAGTAATCCTATCTCAAAAAGTTGATTGTCACATGGCTGAAGCCTTTTTATTTGTTGTGTTGTTGGTCAGGGTAGAATCACGTGGTTTGTTTGGCGGTATTTCAATAAAGTCAGTTGCATTTAACTATGGTGAGATGGAGACCGTCTCACTACAGTTGCACAAATTGAAGTTTCATATTTCAAATTTTTGAAATATTTTTAGATGAACAAAAGGAGAAAAAATACAGGATATTTATCAAATAAATATTGTTGCCCAAAAACTGTTACTTTTAACTGACAATAAGTGTTTATTTTATCTGCAATTTTATTTGTATAAAATTTTTTATTGCTTACACCCGATATTTTCCCTCCAATCAATAAAAATATTTTTAATTTANAAGGAATACAGGATATTTATCAAATAAATATTGTTGCCCAAAAACTGTTACTTTTAACTGACAATAAGTGTTTATTTTATCTGCAATTTTATTTGTATAAAATTTTTTATTGCTTACACCCGATATTTTCCCTCCAATCAATAAAAATATTTTTAATTTAACTAATTATTTCCGTACATAAATCCTATCTTAAAAAAGAGAATTTTGAATAAAGTGGGAAAAAATTTAATGATCAGTCCATACTATTTGTTAGTTGAAAAACTACTTATGTGTATTATTAGAAAATGTTATTAACGAGAGCGCACCTGATCCTAAGATAGATACTTGTCATAACTCGACCTATTCATTGATAAAAGAAAGGCTTTTATTATGCAACTTAACTTTTTGCAGTATAAGAACTATACATAAAAATCACAAGTTGCAAATTGAAAAAAAAATTTTTTTAAATACACTGAGAAAAGTGGTGTTAAAAACTGTAATAAAAATTACTATATTCTATTGGAAAGCTGAGACATACTCGCCATATTATGAAAATTGCTATGCTACATAGTAAAACTAGATCATATTAGAATTTGCTATTCAACATAGTCATTTTTGCTTTGTTCGAAAATAAGAAAAATATATATATTTATTATATGTATACACATGGACTCCTTCACGTACGGATTAAAA